CAGCAACTTGCACAGAGTAACTGCAGAGACAGTTGCGCAGAGAGCTTGCGCAGAGCACTTGCATGCACAGAGAAACATGTGCTGACAGCTCGCCTGCATCGATAACTTGAGCAGAGAAACTTGCGGCGAGAACTTGGGGTGGACAAACTTGAGCCGAGAGATTTGAGGCAAGAACTCGCACATACTAACTTGCGCAGAGAACTTGCACGGAGCGCTTGGAGCAGATAAATTTGAGCCGAGGAGAGAAATTTGCCCAGATACGCTTGTTTAGAGACATTTGCTCAGGAAACTTTTCAAAGGGAAACTTGCAGAGCAAACTTGCGCAGAGAAGTGTCGCAGAGAACATGCTTCGCTCACCATACGTTGTGCTTTCGGCCCCCGTTCTTCTAGTTTGTTTCACTTGAAATATTGCAGAAGAGCAGCGAACAGCTATTTCTGCGTTCCACAGCGTCCCTTTTGCTTTCACGTGTAGTTTTCTACACAAAGCATGCACATGAACCGATTTATCACCATAACATGGATCCCCACACAGGTCCTGGTTCCAGGCGTTGTTGTTTGCAGGACACCAGTGCCCTCATTGGCTTTGGTTGGGAGGGTGAACAATACGTCAAAAGATCTGCTTCAATGTGCGCTGGGCGGTCAAGCCATTTCAAACTCAATGCAAATGGACACCATATCTCTTTTTTTGGAGCTTCGGGCGATGAACAGTGTCCAAGCCGGAAAAATGTCCTCTCTCTCTATATGTATAGTTGTATATATATATATATATATAGAGAGAGAGGGGCCTTTGGCATGTGTCTGTTCGTGACTCCGACCTGCTCTTGTAAGCCTCCGAGCCCTTGCAACGTCCATGAAGGCCGGCGCATGGTTTTTCCATCGGTGACATATCAGGAAACATGTTGGTTCAAATCGCCGCATGCTTTGGTTCCCATGGATCCTCATGCAGCATTTGTCATGCCTTGAATCGCTCGGGCCATGTGCTGGTGTTTTACCTGCCGATCAATGGATAGATCTCGCAATGAGAATACATCTTCGGCTTTGACCGCTACTTTTGATGCTCCCAAAGATGCGGACTAGATGAGGACTTGCTTGTGTAGCTTACCTTGACTTCATTGTGAAAGCTTCCGCTATAGAGGACTGTTGTTGTTTGAGGGTCACGGTATGCGACGGTATGCCGAGGTCTGGAATTGGTCATGATCGCGAGGCGAGGGTGCCTTTCTAGATTAGACGCACTCGGTGTACCCGGAAGAGGGAGAGGAGGCCAAAGTGTTTGAATGACGCTGGTTGAAAGACCTTGCAAGTGGAGTGTGTGAACACGGCTCGGAGCCCAGCACGTGATGGATTGATAATAAGACATGAGATGGTCTGCTTGTTTGCGCCTGAGGAGCTGCTCATTTGTCAGCATGAATCAAGGGCCGTGATTGAGGCTTTGGAGCGTACTTCATTGAGGGGACATGCGGTGCCACAATGGGGCTTTTCTTGAGGCTGCCCCAACAATGTTGGCCCGCACTGGGCAAGGGGTGAATCTCAGAAGGGCCCGGTCAGTTTGACTGCAAGCGGGTCGGCCTTGGGCAGGACACAAGGGACGAAGCAGGTGGACTTCTTTCTTCCAGACGAGGAGCAGGCAAGGCACTGTCGGAGTAGCCACCGGGCAACCAACGCTTTGTCGACTTGCGAAGGGGGGATAGGAGGATTTTTGGCAGGTTTGTGCGAGGCCGGAGCGAGCCCTAGCAAACCTGAGCAGAGACCCTGAGAAAATTTTGGGCCCTCGGCTTTGGACACTGCGAGTCGTTCATGGATCGAGGGTCAACGGGCAGGCTGAGAGCGAGAGTTGGGATGGAAAGAGGAAAGAGACCCATTTCACACTTTCGTTTGTTGCCTGGTGGAAGAATCCATGAGAAGCGAGTGAAAGATGAGCAAGACAAAGGAACCAGACGGTTTGTAAGAGGGAAGGGCTGCAGGGCCAGGCAGAGAGCTTCTTGAGTTGGCTCCACCACAGCAGTGATACAACTACTTTTCGCATGATGCTCGAAGCAGTGTCTTCTTGAGCTATGCTCCTTGATATTTGCACTGGCTTCACAAGCATACTGGGATCAGATTGTGCGGCTACACCATGGACTCTTTGTCTAGCAGTCTGACCGCAACTGTGGCTAGCCCCTGCCACAAGCAGCGCGAGGCAAGGCCACCTTCGGCATGACTAGTTGACCCCTTCGGAGCTCCCCCTGCCTTGTTTTGACGGCCAAGAAACATAAGCCTTCTTACCTAGCAAGGCTGCGGACCCATGGCCAACCTCTCGAGGCCATACCTGCCTTCAGCATGCGGCGCCAGGAGGGAGTGTTCGCAGCAGCATTTGCCGATTTTCTCTGTCAGCTGGGGGTAGCAGACTGACCTCAAGGCTTCACTCCTTTTCAGGCTGACGCCAATTGGTATGGCTGAGATGAAGTCAATGCAGCTGGCCGGGCTGCCCCTTGCCAAGTTTTGAGCATTGCGGCCGCAAGGCTCTGTCCTGGATATGATGTTCAGTGGGGGTGTCGGGACAACTCGTCAAAACTTGAACACTGTTCTTCAGGGAGAGGGATATATATATATATATATATATATATCCAGGAGCCGGACATCAATCTGCAGCTGTTTGGCTCCAGATCTTGGCACTCCCGCCCGCGGAAAGGTGTGCTGGTCTTGCCCTGCATTATGGGAGATTCAAGCAAGCAGATGACGCAGCCTGCGCTTAGCATGGTGTGTGCCAGCTTCTTCCTTGCTGTCCCTGCGGCTGTTTGCGCATTGATCGCGCTGCTTGGAGTTTGGTGGTCTGGGCAAGTGGAGCCAGGCACCTTTGGTGGTGCCATCACGGGCAAAGGTGACCTCAGTCTTTGGTGGTTCCGGACCAGCTCCGACTTTCTTGGGATCAACCTGCCCCAAGCTTACATCAATCTAAGTTCCGTTTGCTTGGATGCCTTCTCTATGTGCGACAAGCTTGCGGCCATCAGAAACTTGATCGGCGTCTCTTTCGGCTTCGCCTGCTTGGCAACTCTTTGTGCAGTGATGTCCCTCTTTGCTGTGAACGACTGCTTTGGGTATGGCCGCCGTATCGGCCGCTTCAGCCAGATGGCGGTTTGCCTCGCGAGCGCCCTCTCCTGTGGCTGCATGATTGCAGGCCTTGTCGTGGGCGAGTCCACCGACACGCTGCAATGGTTCAGGAAGTGGGGCAACTTCGGTCCGGCCGTCTACTGTGCCGTTGCGTCGCTCTTGCTGTCCTTTGCCGCAGTCATTGTCTCCATCATCGCTACACGCCGCATCAACGATGAGAACAAGGGTGCCCGCGAGTTTCAAAGTGAGGGTTCAGAAGCCACAGAAGTAGCTGCAGCTAGCACAGATGTCTGATGCCGGTATTGTTGCCGCACAGACCCAATTCGCCATGGCACAGAGGGCTCAATTGCATGCATCCCATTTTGGGCAGCCGGAGCTGCCAGAAATTCGCTCTGAAGCTTCTAGTGATAGCAAGGACTATCATGTCAACGGAAGTCGCAAAGTTTTCAAGGAGTTGCAGTTTGAGCAATGCAACCTTGACCACCGTCTCTTGGCGGCCTGAAGAGCCGCGCGCGCTGACGCACAAGTTGCCGAGCGCAAAACAGCGAAACTTCGAGCATTGCAAAGTATACCTTTTGCAATGCCAACATTCTCGCATGATAGTTTGTTCAGATTGTCTTTGATTGGCTGCAATGAGGAGTGTGATAGGAAGGCGCCTTTCTAGTGATGGAGTCATGAAAACACTGCAGCAGAGAGATTTTGTGGAAATGGGCCTGGGCTTGGGAGAGACCAAGTGTCACTTCCTGCCTGTTAAGAAAATGCAAAGACGCGGCATTTGCCAACTACAATCAATGGGACAGCTAGTGAAGAACCTTTCAGCCCCAGCTGACTTGAAATGCCAGGAATATCCAAAGGCCATTCACATCATGGAATTGATGTTGGCTGTCTCAGGGTGAAGAGGCTCCTTTGCATTTTGCACTTCTGTTTAACTGAGACCCCTGGTGCTAAGGTCTTTGAGTCAATTGCACTTTTGCCTACCAGGAGGCTGACGAATGGGTCCTGGTGCAGCCACGGTGTGACTGCTGCGCTCACAGGCAATGAATCGTTTCTATGCGGATGGTCTTTTGCTTGATTGTTGTTCGGACACGGCAGTCATCCCCTGCAAACTAGAAGTGCTAAAAACACTCGAAGGACTGATGCCATTAGCGGTGGTCAGCAGCATCCGCAGTAAGAGGAACAAACAAGGAAAGATTGAAGGAGACGGCAACACAGCCACATCACCAAGACCAGGACAAAACAGAAGACATATTTTTCTGACTTGACGAGAGGAGAAGAAAGCCATCGCAAGGACGCGATGGCACGGAGGGTCGGGATCGAGACGGGTGGCATACGCCCATGGGACAGACGGTCGGGATGCTGGTATCGGTTGGGATGGTTGGGATGGTTGGATGGTCGAGCCGGTGTGCGTCGGGATGGTTGGGGTCAGGACGGCTGGATGGTCGGGATGATTGGGAAGGTCGGGAAGGCCATGTCACGGGATGGACTGTCCGGATGGTCGGGTCGGTCGGGGTGGTCGAGGTGATGGCGTGCGTGGCTGGGACGGTCGGGGCGGTCGGAGTGCTCGAGACGGCCGGGATTCAGGATGGTGGGCTGATGTTGGAAGGGCGCGGCACGCTCGGTCGACATCGAAATTCACACCAGCCTCGGCACCTTGTCGGCAGAAAAAAATCACATAGGCGTCAGCCGATCACGTTTCCTGAAACTCACACCTACCCTGCTTACACGCCTAGCCAGCATGGTGGATTAGCTAGCAAGCTTGACTTCGCACGTGTGTCTTGAAAACGACGCAGCTCACGGGGACCACGTGGCAAGCTAAGGTTTCCAATTTTGGAAGTTTCCGTTCCCCTGTACAAAACTTCATTGGTAAAGCCGTTTCGCATGCAGGATTCTAGGGGGAAGGGCTGTTATCATTATCTTACAAAGTCGCAGCCACTGTGTAGCCAGTGGAATGGTGCATTTCTACGTCGTGTGTGGGCTCGCCGACATGCTAGAGCTTGCAATTCGGCAAGTTGGTAAAGGTCAGAAGTTAGCTAAGAGCGGTGGACAGGAGGCTGGTTGTACGCGCTTTCAGGATTACCTAACAGGTTGGCTTCGGCTGCCTCATGTTTTCATTTCCAACCCAATCAAACCTCAAAATCGGACACGTGTTTGCCCCGCTTCAAATTTCAGCGACATTCTTTAGTTTGTACTTGACACCACCAAGCAGATCAAGCAGGGGTCTGATTTTGACTGAGGGAGGTTTCACCTAAGCAGTCAGTGTCTTGCCCTTCGTGGGGTCTGCTCAGAAAAAGAACACGAGATGAGACATATAAGACTTAGACATGGAAAAGAACATATGTCAAGATCTCCCTCAGCCTGCGCCAACCAAACTGGCCAGGCCGCATCATCGCACCTGCGACTTCCTTGGCCGCAGCCAGCAGGCGGGACCCGTAGATTACAGGTGGCAGATCCCTGTGGTATGTCCTATTAGGGGAGGCCTTGCTTTCCAACATTCCGTGCAACGAAGACACTCCTGCATGTTGAGCACACATCTCAGAGGGTATATGCGAGCTTTGGGGCCAGCCGAAGCATGTTTCAACTAACATCATCTTTAAACAAAAGGCACAATTAGGCTGCCCTGTGTTCAATCATTTCCTTTGGTGACTGATGTCAGACGCGAATTCTTGTACCGTGGAGAGAATGTGTGCTAGGATGGGAAGAAGGGCGTAGGGTAACCACACCTTGATTGGGTAACAGTGCCAGTCAAGTTGACAAGTCACCTTGAACAGCAGTCAGGTGCAGAAGTGCAGAAGAAGGGGAGAAGGCCGTTTTTTTGGCTGTGAAGTCATTGTTTACTTACCGGAAATTGTCAGAGGGATGACGGCTAAGAAGAGCAGCTTCATGGATGGGCAGGTGGTCAGCACACAATTTTCCTGTTCTTGATGGCAGTGATCAAGCACTGCTGATGGGCAGCTAATGATGGCAGAATATATTGAGCGGGCACCACTGGTTGAAACGCATGGTTCATATGTGATGCTGGCAGTGTCTCAAAGGGCCGGAGTTCTGGATCAAAGTCAGACCCGCGTGATATGAGCAATATGGGCTCAGAAGGCTTGCCTGGAGCCAGAAATCTTAATGTTGGGATTGTATTCAGTGGGTCCGGGGAGCTGTCGCTCCCGAACCTTGGACTTCAACCTGCTCAGGTTGCGTGCATCCAGCACAGCAGGCGGAAGGTCGACAAGTGCAGCGTCCACTTCGTGGACATGTTTGCCTGGGGCTGAGGGGCTTGCGCCTTGCTTTACAGAGGAAATGTCCTCCGGAAGCCAATTGGGCCCACGAGTGCGACCCCGCTGAGGTACCCCCGCTGCTCACAGAGGACCAGTCCTCGCTCTGGTGCCCCGCGTGGATGGGCAAGGCGGGCCGTCATTCCTCGTTCCCATTGGCCCAAGAGAGCCAAGAAAGTGGTGAGTTTACACGCCGGTTTCGGGACTAGAGCAATGTCCAGAGTGTCGCAGCTGCCAGTCCCTTTGGATGTGGCCTGGGTAAATTGAGACACAAGTCGCTGTGTTCGGACTACTGGATAACGAGTTCGCTAGACTCATCCCTGTTCTTGTTACCTTTTCATCGGTGTCTGAGTTCGCGTGGATTTCTCATGTCTTTGGTGTGACCTTAGCCCCTCACACAGCTTTTCATTTGACCTACAAACATTACTCAGTTCTGGCCATTGCTTTTGTCTGCCATTGCTGCTGGTACTTGTGCTACTGGGACATGCTCACCGCTCGGTGGACCCTGCAGACTGAACAAAACATCATTATCAGTGATTCATTCTGGAGGTCTACTTGAGCATGAGTCACGGAAAAACATCCCGGATCCCCCGCGTCCGCTTTTTATCCATCAGGATCTCGGCTGCAAGACACCCTTGAGTGCGGCACCCGAGTTCTGACAGGAAGGCATTTGCACTTTCTGGCTACCTTCTGCATGCACATATTTTCGGGAGTATATTGATGCCGATTCCAGATATGCACATCCTTTTTTTGCTTGGGAACTATCTCAACTTGGAGGGTTCTGGAGGAAGCTGAGCATGGGCGCAACATTGCTTCGCCTTCAAACTGAAGGAGTGCTGGGAGCCGTGCCATTCTCACACCTACGATTTGAGCTGTCACATCGAGGCTTACCCGTAGCAAGCATGGACGATGGTTGGGCACCCTTGATGGACGTGCAGAATGCTTGAAAGCTTCGGTGGTAGCTTCCCTTTTGACGCGCACATATCCGAGCACGCTCTTCTGTGAACTTCTAGTTCCGTTCCCAGCGGTTCCAGCCGTGTTGAAAGCAGGTGGTCAGGGGGCTAAGCTTGGTTTGCTCGCAAAGAACAGCGCAAACAGTTTGTACACCATGCGATTTGCCCTGTCCCAGCTGCATATGCATTGCATAAGTGTTTGCATGTTGCCCCACACCATGTGAGCAATTTTCATATTGTCACATGTTTGTGGTTTTCTGCACTGCACTACCTCCATCTCCCCTTTCAGCAGCGACTGCTCATGCAATCGAGCAGTTGGTGGGAGAAATTGCCTGAAGTGATCGAGGCAGTGGTAGCCTATCGCCCAAGAGTACCAGGAGCGCACGCAGCAAGTTTCCGGGTGGAACACAAATACATCACTACATGGTTGGTTCATCGGCTCGTTGATCTCCCCCACTCCCCGCTATTGCTTGGCTCTCGGTGAGCCTGCCATCCTGCAAAAGCCTTCAGCTCCTTCCATCCATATCTCGTGTACAGTGTGTTTCTTGCTTTCGGACAATCCGGGCAGTGCTTGTTGTTGTGAGATGATGATCTTGGCGTCCAGACGACCCTTGCTCGGCGTCGCTTTTTTTGCTGGACACGTTGTGAGAGCCCAGCCACAGAACCATTTGGGTATGGGTCAAAATGAAACCAGGCCGCAGGGTTTGGTCCATGTTTCCATTTACCGGGGTTCCATGTTGGGTACCCATTTTTGACCCATAGCCATTTGATGCAACTGGATGCCTTAGGAGCCCCAGCTTCCACCTCATGGCCCCAGAAGGCGCTGATGCGCCCGGGCCCGAGCGGGACTTGGGCCTCTTCGGCTCGCGACCGTGGCGTTTCGTTTCGGCAACGCCTCGATGGGGGTAGAGATGGCCCGGGGTGCGCCGATTTTTGCGTATCCTGGAGGACCAAAGGCCATTTGGGGCATCTGAAGTTTGCGGTTGCTCTCTGCAACAAGGCAATTGGCAAGCGAGTGGTTCACCGAGATCTAGCCATTTCTCGAAATGCGGGAGCCCAGACTGGCATCATCGAAGGGAATTCCCGTGCAATACCTCCGTGCAGACCAGCTGCGAGTGCCCATTGCCTTCACCGCATCGGCCTCCATGAACGATGCGCGAGCAACGGACGTTTCTTTTTTCGAGTCTGGAAGTGGAAGGGGTCCCTGTTCTACTTCTGTTCAGGGGCTTTGCCCTTCAGGTTTCCAGGATTGGTCACGTGGAGCATGCTCCTGCCAGGATTCATCTGCAATCCAAGCTGCCTGTCGGCGGCCCAAGATTCGACCAAGGCATCTTGGATACGTCCGCGCCCCACGCTTTCAAAAGACATCATGGTGCAAGCTATTGTTTGTACGCACCTTGTATGCACCAGGCCATGGTTGTGTTTTTGCTTAGTTTGCGCCCGTTGTTTGGTGCAAATCATTGTGCAAAGTCTTAGTGATAGATTTGGGGGGCACCCATTTGGTTTCAACAGGTACTGCGCTTCAATTCCCCAAATCACCAATCCAAAACCACCAACTAAAGGGAAGCTGAATGATCAAGGTTTGGCAATGGTGCCGCTTTCCAAGCCGCTAAGATTCGAGGTGAGCTGCACTTCCTGAACTCTCAAATCTTGTGCCGTTTTTTTCCGCAAAGGCCCAGCCCGGACTAGCTCCCCCCGAGTTCCCGACCAGTTACTCAAGACCAGTAACTCAAAGCTGGCCAGCAAGCAGTGCTGTACAACAATGTACAACAACAAAGGTGAACTGTGTGCGGTATTGCTTACCGGTTCTAAAGGCGAATCAGTCGTTTGTTTTCTTGTTTTGGTGGCATCGCAGACCAGACTACCGTTCGCTTTGCAACCTGAACTTCTTGTTTTGGATGCTGACCTTACGGCAATCAAGGCAGTAATTGTTTTCTTGCTCATCAAGATGCTTATGAGCCCCACGGCTGTGATTTCGGCATTTGCATCTTATTTCAGAGGCTATTCATCAAGCGAAATGATGCCCGCCTAGCTTTCCCTTCTCTTCGGCAAGGGAAAGGAGGTTCCGGCTTCCGTCACCTGAGGTCTGGAACAGTGATTTGGAAGGGCTCATCTTGAACTTTGAGGCGATAGCCACAGAAGGGCTGAGGGGGGAGCCAAGAGACGTCGCCTTGTGTGATGAAAGCTGCTTTGCTGTCCATGTGTGACTCGTTGGAAGCCCGGTTTCGCCTCTGATTCTCGTGTTTTGCACTGCACGCCTTGTTGCTTCGTGATGGGGGAAGGACTTGTCGACCGATTTCTTGCATACGCGCGTGTTGTTGTCTCAGGGACGCAGCATGCTCCGGAGCTCGCCCCGGAACTTTGTGGTGCAGGAAGAGGAGGCAGATGTGGGAACCATGTGTGTGTGTGTCTATGTATAGTGGTAGCAGGTTTTCGCCTGGGCTACTATGTGTAGTAAGGAACTTGTTCAGCCTCCATAAACCAGCTAGGCCACTGCTACTTGCTTTCTTGGAAAGCATAGGTTCAAGACACGCAGCATCGTAACTTTTGTCTTGGACATCTCGGGTGGCTCAGCATTTCCTCGCAGTTTCCGGAGGAGGCACGGAGTGCCAATCACAAAAAACTTGTCAAGGCACCAAATGGTCTGTTTTGGAGGAGCCCATGTGCGAACTTTTCCCAAAAGCATCTCCGATGCGATGGGTTCTCGTTTAGTCAGAGCTGCGTTCATCGGGTGCGGACGGCTGGTGGGATTTGGTTTCCGAGCGTTGCCCGACAGTGGCTGTGCTGTGGGATTGTGCTGGGGGTTCTTTGTGGCTCGGCAGAGGGCTGATATCCAGAATGCTGTTGGGTGGGCTTGAGGTTGTCTTTGCGTCACTGTGGTTGGCTTGTGGCTGATTTGCGCTTGCAGTGGCTTCAGGGTTGCTTTAGGATGTGGATATGCGAGTTTTGGGCTGGTTTGGCCAAACCACCAAAACTGGCCGAACATCCCTAACCAGCCGCGCTAGAAAAGCCCCAAGGCAGCCCAAACCTGGGTAGCAGCCCTTTGCTGAGCCTAACGTGAACCCGTAGGTCCCAGCGAGGCCAGTGATGCTCGGGATACGGCCAACCAACCTGACCACACCGAAGAGTCAAGCAAGGGTTCCCAGCCAACCTATTTAGAGGCACATGAAGGGAGGCCTGGTTCAGAGCCGAGCTAGAAGGCCGGGGCCAGGAAAAACAAGCATCTCAACCTCCCATGTGAAACTTCCTCTCACAGCCAACTTTGGGAGTCGCAGGGGAAGATCGTGATGCAGCACGCGCAGATTGCGGAGAACACCTGGTGCTCGGCAGCCCGGTGTGGGAAGTTGGCAGGGCAACTGTGGTAAGCTGATCTCAGCAACTTGTCGTCAATACTCGGCATGATAGGTCATGCAAGTCTTTTGCCCATGTGGATTGCTAGCATGCCGACAGCGGACCATCATTCATGCCCACCTAGCCACCTGCTTCTTGCATTCTGATTCAGATGGATTCCACATTAGTGTGTCGCGGGCAGTATTTGGTTGTTGGGCCTAGCTTTTACTGCATGGCAGCGGCCCCAAACAGAAAGCTACCAATCTGACCCCGAAGGAGACGCCGATATCTCAGCAAGGCAAGCATGCCACAAAATCAAACAACGCAATTCAATGGCCAAAGTTTCCTTGCGGCATATCCCGTATATTCACCCAACCAATTTCCACAAAGTTTACTTAACTGTCTTTGCTTCCGAGGCCTGGACTTCAACCACCCGCTGAGCGTGGTACAGGCTGGGCGGAGAGGTAGACACAATGCCTTGGGCTGGTTGCATGTGCCATGATGGTTATGGATAAGCCGCATCCAAGAAGCTGCAAACTGAAGATACATTTGCCAAACAGTGCGCGAGTGGCATGTTGAGTGCGCGAGGGCAGTGTGCGATCAGGGTGTGTATGTAGGTGAGTGGACTGTGCAAGTGTGCGAGTTGGAGGACTGAGCGGACGAGCGGACGATTGGGAGAAATCGAACAGAAGTAACGTATTTTCTAGACCTTATGTTTGGCACGCAATTGAACGTAAATAGTGTGTCGGCAATTTCTTCTTTCTACTTGCAGGGAGGGGCACCGCATTATGAAGCCCGAAGCATGTGGCAACCGAGAGGCTCACAACTTTTATCCACGCTAGCAAGTTGTTATGTAGTTGAATGTTGCAATCATGGGGATCTCTTGTGAACGTTGCTGGCTTTGCACCCATGACATGAGGGACATCAGCCCGGAGACTTATAGTGGCCTCAAATGAGTTCTCCGCAATCTTGAGTTGTAAGAGCAGATAGTCTAGATCCTCACCTATCACAGTTTGGATGCCGGAAACTCGTGCATCGCAGGCGTTTGCAATGGCCATGGCGTCCATTGACTGGGAGTAACACAGGCCGGGGATGTTGGGCTCTCGGGTGGGGGGTGGGGGGCAGACGCAAAGGGCTCAAACACTGCTGGAGGCTCTAAAATCTGACAGGAAACCTCCTCGGTGTCGGGCCTTGTGTCAACAATCTCACATTGGTTAGAATCAATGGCTATCATGGCAAAGTGACATGGCAAAAGGCACACACAGCGCAGACATTCAGATGGAGGGACGCATTCTCTTGCTCCTTTGATACATTTAGTGAGTCAAGCTGGACCTTTGGACAGAGGGATGTGACTGGAGGATGCTGGCCATGGGGGAAGATGCGTTGCTGCCTTGGATGTTGCTCCCCTAGCAACGCGCATATTCAGGGGTTTTGGGGCTGGCACAAATGGCAAACCAGAGCCGAACTTTGCAGGTCGAATTCGGCCAGATTTGTCTTTTTTGCTTCGGTCAGATGCAGCCTGTCAGCATATGTGCAGGTTACGCACGTTGTCATGTGTGAACGGAATGCTTTGGCAGGCTTGCGGGGCCAGCTTGCGTTGATCCCTGCAGCGTTCCATGCCTCTAGTCTGGATGTTCGAAGGGGGGCCGACGAATCCAAAGAAACTGCTCGAGGCAGGCTGACTTGGGCCGGCTGACTGAAGTCGTGTGCCTTCGCCAGAGCAGCCCTGCATTCACTGGGGGCGACTTTCGTGGACCCCCAATGGCAGCACTCTGTTCCAAATTGCTCAGCGCTTGCGCGGTGGGAAGCGTTTCCTCACCCGATTTGCAAGGTGGAAATTCAGCATCCCGCGCTCTCACTAAAGTGACAGCGCGGAATTACGGGAAGGCCAGCTTTCAGTGTTGCAGAGAGCTTGGCACCTCCCCGTAGCAACAACAACAGGGCCGCGACTTGTGCGGCATTTTCCGAAATACGTGAATGTGAGACTATGTTTCAATCCAGCATGTGCTGTTCACTAGCCCTTTTTTGATTTCTTGATTTTATCTAGACTTGATTTGATTGCTACCATTGTAACGTAGCTGAGAGAAGCAAAGCACCCTTCGCTCACAGACAAGGCCCCGTGTCAACAGCTCGGCGAGCAGCGTGGCGCAACTCGGCCCACTCGCGTGAGATCTCGGTGATTTCGATTAGAGACTTGCAGAGTTGCGGACTGATGCAAACAGAAGCCCTAGCTTCGTGCTCAGTCAGGCCAGAGTGCTTCAAAAGGAGTACTGAGCTTCAAGAGGCACAGGTGTTATCCTCGTCCGTAGCAACCACACACCGTGGACTTCAGTTCCGAAGTGGAAAAGTGGTTGCAGATCAGATTCAGCCACGCCTTCCATGGCGCACTTGCAAATTGCAGGGTTTCAAAACGGTTGATTTCTGTTCGGATCCACAACAGGTGGTCTCTGATTCTAAGACTATGATTCATTCGCCACTCAGCCCTAGCCACAGATGGGTGCGTCGTGAGGAACCGAAAATAGATAGCCATTTGGACGCGGCCCCTTTCGAGACCTCTTGCCAGAATCAACTCTACCTCGGCTCGCGCACAGCTGGACACGATGAGTCACTTCAAAAGAAAGCAAAGAGGAACACGGACAATCCCGCGGTGGTAGCATGTCTCACTGGCCTGCATCTCAGGCACCCCCCGACAATATTCTTCCATTATTTTTAAAGCATTTTGATATAATTGCTTTCGAGGTGCCCAAGCTGTCAACAAGGAAGGTGGCACTATATCAGCAACACCCACGCGAGTAAGAGGACACGGCCTCATAGTAGGCGGACACTTCTTTTGTTTCAGCTCTTTCAGAGCAGTCTGCATTTCAAAAGGTATTGAGAGCAGTCCCCAGACTTTCGCATGATGGGCATGCGATCATGGCATGCTTGTCCACCGCCTGTCGCTGGGCCACTTGGCAGAACCAGATGGCAAGGAAAGGACAGGCGAGCTGCAGCAATCTCCGTATTGGCATCGTCTTGACGCTGTCAGCGGATATAGTGTTTGACATGCTCAAGCTCCAAGTACTGTTGGTGAAGGTAAGCTCCGCCACCAAGATCGAACTTTTTCGATTTGGTGAGGTGTTCGGGTGGGCTCGTTTTGGGAAGAAGGGAACACTCTTTGTCGTCCACATGCATTTCAAAGGACTTGCTTTGGTTCAAGAGGGACATGCTGTACATTCAAGAGTCATGCTGCACATTAAAGAAAGGCACTCACCGCAGTTTTCAACGTCGATGCCCCAAACTGAACAGATTCCAGCTACGGAAACTGTGGTCGCAGCCCCATAAAGAAGAAGCTCTTTTGTTGTGCCCTAAACCACAATGCAAATGGCTACGCATTCCCATCTGTTTGGGTGCCTTGTGGCTTTGGTAGTACAGGGCCATTTGTAACATAGGCACCCGGTGGATAGCCTCCGCCCAGCTACCAGCAACACTTGTTCTTGCGAGTCTTAAAAACCCATGCTGGATCGGCGAACTCAGCGTGAAAGCTGGCAGCTGAGTGCCGCAGTTGACTGGACGTGGCTCACAAACGCCTGCGCCCAGATTTGGCTGCTGCGATTGCTGCGCGCCGGAGCGGAGGCGCTATGAATCTAAAGGAAACTCATGGAAGCCCTGCTTTCCTCACTGGGCGCGGACCTGGGGAGTAGGTTTCTGTCCATCTGTAGATGGAACTTCCCAGATTCGGGAAGACCTCATCAGGTAATGGGAGGCTTTGAGTTATGCCCCATTTTGCTACCACAGAGGGGTCAGTCAAGATTTCATCTTCACTGGCACGTGGTGGTTTTTTATTGGTTATCTGCAGTAGGCGAAAACAGAAATCGACCGTACCAAGCCACCAATCCTTTTTTGCTTCATCCTGGTTTGCTTCTGCCTAGAGGAAACGTTGAGTGCGGTCAGACTCCATTGTGCGAGCCAGCATGGTGCGATGGTCCTGCCGCACACTTTGCTTTCCCATGGCAAGCGCGGAATTGAAACGCTTATGAGTAGGCTTCGTATGCTCATGCGGATGCGGAGATGCAATGGCAAGGACCAGGCCCCTTCGGTTTGCAGGTTGGCTTGTGCCCGTGTTTGCGAGATCAAGGGTGATGAAGTTTAAACACGCGTCTTCTGTGTGTTTTGCTCCATTTCCCAATGCAGAAGACTCGTCTGCAGGCATCGACCCAGGGCTGCACCCTGGTCTCCGTGGTCCCCCGTCAAGGAAAGGAGAGGGGGAGACGGGGCCGGAAGCGAGCTTTGCCTCCCATTTTGAGGGTGCACAGAGAGCTTGTTGACAAACAAACATCAGCGAATGAATTCAACATGCCGAGCGCTCAAGTGTTGTCCTATGCAAAAGCGGCACACCTGATGGCAGACGTACCAACCTGGCTGTGAAACGGGTTCAACTGAAGATGCGGAATTCGGGGTGGCGCTTTCTGAAGCCGAACACTCGCTCCAGCTTGCACCTACAAATGTGATCTGGCTGGGTTTCGCACGTTCGTAGGCAGCGAGAACATTTGGGCAGGTTGTGCCTGTCACGCTCAATGCGGCGCACCTGCCTATTCCAGACCGGCAAGTAAAGGTTAAGGTCTTTGTTGGCACGTCCAATCCTAGGCTAACAAGACGCTAACAAGACGGGTGAACCCAAGTCGTGTGAAGGTGGGTGCCTCACACGCGGCTGACAAGACACGGCCAGTAGCTTGTGTAGCTTGTTTGAGTCTCCTGCGTCGCTGCTCCATGCTCGAAGCCAAACAAACCACCATCGCCTTAGCAAGCAAACCCGGTGCAAGCAATGGATCCGCGAGATGCAGTTCCAAGCGGCTTTGCGCTTACGCGGGCAGCGTGCGTCACGTTCTTGCGCAAGGACAGTTTCGGGTTGCGCGTGCTTCTTTGGGTCACGCAGGCTTAGGCGATTTAGCTAGCGGTTCTGCTCGCGCAGTGTTTGCAATGCGCAGGGCGAGCCACGGGCCAGTTGTCACGCAAAGCAGCTTGGATCAGCCTCGTCAAAACCACGTGTTTTTCCCGGCGTCCAGAGCCCTGCATCTTTTCAGTGCTCCCTCGGCCTCCGTTTGGAGACGCAGTTGGTTTAAACCGCTTTTTGAAGTTGAGCTCCAGTTCAATCTTTTACTTCCATGTAGATTCCAATCACAAGATGATTGGGAAAGAAGCTCCTACTGAACCAGCTCGAAAGTTGTATTGTTCACTACACATGGCAGCTCCAGCTCGAACAATACGCAACTTCTCAGCACAAGAGTAGGACGTGGAGTGCACTGTGGCAGCTTAAATGTTCCTGAAACAGCTCTGTTATTTCTGTTTGTTTCTCTTTTGCAGTCTTAGAGGGAAAATCAGCAAGGCATCAATTTGGGGGACAGGAACTCATTTCTATCTAAATTGAAACCCAAATCGGGTTCTTCCAGAACCAAATTGAACTATAGCCGTTCGCACTTTCCCTCAATGACGGAAAAGTGTTTCAAAAACATGTATCTGCTCCTTGGCCAAAACATGCAGCAACATGCCTTTTTTAGCGTTGGTTGACATCATCTTCCCCTGGATCGAAGACTGACGACTGGAGATTCCACACACCACTTCTTAGGACACCTTCAATCCTGGACCAGCCCTCAAGGCCCCCAAAAACCGGCAAAGTGTTTCTGTTTGTTTTGCCTGGATCGAAGATTCAATATTGAAGATTTGCGAGACAACTTTGTAGCTTTTAGAGAACCATCAATCCTGGTCAAGGCCCCAAAAGACTTCAATGTTCATCCAAAACTTTAAAGTGTTTTTCCTCCTTTGGATTGAAGATTGAAGATCGAACATCCCCCAACTTTAGACAATCTTCAATCCTGGCCCTCTACTTTGAAGTTTGCTTCTGGATCGATTCAAGCCAGAATATTTTCCAGAAAACTCTTCAGGGAGTCTTCAGTTTTTAATCAACATCTTCACTTCATTGGGCAACTTTGGGTTCATGGTGCCTGGGCTGCTGAGGGAAGATTCACCGAAACGTGTTGTGGGGAATCTTACATCCAGAGAAATTCATCTGATTGAACGTGTTTGGGGGGCCTCGAGGGCCGGCAGGATTTAAGATTCGGCAATGTTCCATCCGGGGAATCCGTTGGGGTTCGGGATCGAAGATTTTCCAACCAGTGTTCTGAGCCTTCAATCTTTCCAAGGGAATGCTTTAAGCTTCTTGGACATGTTAGAGTGCACTTTTCTAGACTCTTTTTGCTCGATTTCGTCCGTGGTCAGCTTTGAACGATGGTATTTTACAGTATTCATTGACGAGGCGTCGGTCTACACATACATGTATACACATGTGTATATATATATATATGTTTGTATCTATATACATCAATGCATAGGCGTATTGCTGTATGTTCATATATGTCACATGTTCTGCATATGGGCACATGTATGTGGATAGTCATACTCACACATACATGCATACCTACGTACATCCATCCATTCATCCATCCAGCCAGCATGCATGCATGCATGCATGCATACAGACAGAAAGCCAGACAGAGACAGACAGACAGACATACAGCATTTGTGCACACATGCACACATCCACACATACATACAGACACTTACACACATGCACACATACACACTGAAACTTATATATATATATATATACATAAGATATATGCACACACACACATATACATACACATACCCGTACACATACACATATACATATACATAGACATATACATACACAGGCACACACACACACAATACACATACACACATACACACATACGCAGATACACACATACACGCATACACACATACAGACATACACACACACATACACACATACACACATACAGACACACATACACACATACACACATACACACACATACACACACACACACACACACGCATGCACGTACGTACGTACGTACGTACATACATACATACACACACACACACATACATACATACATACATACATACATACATACATACATACATACATACATACGTACATACATACATACATACATACATACATACATACATACATACATACATACATACATACATACATACATACATACATACATACATACATACATACATACATACATACATACATACATACATACATACATACATATACATACATACATACATAGATACATACATAGATCCATGCATCGATGCATGCATACAAACAGACATCTATACATACATGTATGCATACATACATGCATACATACATACATACATGCATATACATATACATATACATATACATGCACATACACATACACATACACATGCACATACATATACATATATACAATAAATGTTGTATGTATGTATATACTTATATATATATATATATATGCATATTCCTTCACATATACACATTCCATGTTGGCGTTTTGCGGCACGTCAGACTTGTGTATCCCGAGGTGCTTAGCAGCCATGGCCGGCCGGTTGACCTGCAGCCGCCCTTTGCGCCCTTCGCGGCCCTCGCCGGGTTTTGCTTTGGACTGTGGGGAGACGGGGTGACAGTTGGTTCTCACGAGTTGCGGCTGAAAGAAGGCTCAACAAGGAGCAACCACTGTGCACCTTTCACATCAACCCATTAGTGGTTTCAACAAATGCACCTGCAAGATGTCCTGCAGTCTTTGACGATTTGTGGTAGATAGTGCCCTGAGTCAAGCGCGCTTGAAGCTGTTGACTCTCATCGGAGCATGCTTTAGCACAGGATCGTTTGAACCTGAGGATCAGATCAAGACGAAGGGTTCTACTAGTTAGAAGCTTTGTTTCCATCGCTTGCCGACGCGAAGGGTAAGGTTTCCAGATCTTTTGATCTCATGATCGGAGGTGTTTTTTGTTAAGTCTGTCATGCAAGCTTCAATGTAATGTGATGACTTGAAACGCAATTTGTGTTCCCAACTTTCACCTTGCAAAGTGAAGGCTGACCAACCCGAGAGTTGGCTCATGCCCAGCAACATTTGCGGGCGCTTGATACTGGTCGAAGGGTCAGCTTCTGGCTCAAGTTCAATCATATGGCAGTTGGCATTGGTGTATATGTTTGATGGTTCTCCCTGGCGGTTGGCTAGCCGGCTTTTCGTCCATCGCAGCAGATTGGACACCAGTCTTTGAGTACCCTGCAAGGCAATACAGGCGCATGAGGTTGGTGACTGGTGTCTTCCATCGCAAGGTTGCTCAACGCTAGGCTTTTGTTCAGAACATGCAAATGATGCCACGTTGAGTTGGGAAGCCTGCAGCTTATACATGGAATTGCTCCATACATGACTTGGAATCCCTACAAACCAAGGCATCCCAATACATATCCCATCCTGAAGGCTCAGCAGTTGTTCGCTTGTAGGCACCAATGTTAGGATGCGGCTTTGGCTTAGGTCCACTAGTGTAGTGTCACCACTGAACATGTTCTCGAGGAGATGTGGACACCACGATTGGTAAAAGCCCACACGAGTCATGACGCGAAGGGATGGAACATTAAAGCTGGAACATGTGACGCGAGTTGGTTTGCTTGATTCTGACTCTTTTGCCTTGCAGGAGTTTTTCAAGGTCTGTGGGGCGATCAGTCTGCTGCCATGAGTTGGCTATCCACGGGGCTTTTCTGCTTCCAAATTACCAGCCCATCACGCCGAACACCCTTTTTTGGGATGCGCTGCAAGCTTCAGAAGGCTGAATCCGAAGAGTCTTTGACGGTACGTCCTGAGGCCATGGAAGCTGCCAAAAGGCCAGCTGTTGTTTGTGGGCAACAAACATTGACGTAGACTTACGCTCCACACAGTGTCCGGCACTTGAGATCCGCCGGCTTCCCGCAGCTTCGGCCTGAGCACGGCACTTTGCGCGAGATGGGCGTGAGGTGAGGCCGTGAGGCACGCAGTGAACGCACTGCATTGATTAGGTTGAGAGGGCCCGTGTGGATTTTGGACTGCCACTTGAATTTGAAGATCCGATCTGACCCCTCTATGCAGATTAGCTGTTTCAACCTCCCCAGTCACAGCCTGAGCAGAGCTGTCATAGAGACGGGGAGACATTGGCAGCACAGTGAGCCAGCTTGAAAGACTCTTTTTGCTACTTCATGCCCTCGGAAGTGTGTGTTTTTTTTTTGTGTGTGCGGCAACACGATTCGACTCAAAGGGCTGACTTCTGGCTGTGTGACTGGCTTATGCGAAGTTGTTGTTGTTGATTCCGGACGCTTCCTGTGCAGGTGGTGCGCCATGGCATTTCGCCTTGCCACAGCGCAGTCAGTGAGCGACGAGGACGTGTTTGTTAGTTCTACACAGTTTGTCGTTCTTTGACTTAGGGAAGAGAGAGCGGTAGTATGGCCACGACTCCCAGGAACGAGCTTATTGACTTGGAGAAACCAGAAACCCTTGGTTGCGGCATGGCTCGCTTCAACACATGTTGTTGCTTTTGGGGAATGCACGGACCCCCTTGCCTCTCTGCTGAAGCGGGTGCCTTCTGAAACGGCGCCGTTGGTATTCTGAGCTTCAGCTATTTGTGGCGAATTTCGGTCCGCCTGACGGGAGGACGGCACCTTCATCTGGAACGAGTGCTTCTGCCGTGGCAGCAAGTTGCATGTGGCGGTGCTTCGCGGAAGCCTTCAGAGAGTGAAGGCGCGGTCGAGGGGTGCTTTGGCGGCTGGCCTTCGACAGCAAATTTGACAACGAACCGGCGAGATCTCGGCCAAACACGCATTTTTTGTTTTTGTTTTTTGCCTGGCGATGACAGGCGATCCTTGTTAGGAACCCTAAGGGAGACGGAGTCGAGACTTTTTCGGAGACAGCAGTGGCAAATACTCGATCCAGTCAATTTGTCCTCCTTGTGGGTGTTGCTCCAGATGAGGATATGCATTGATCAAGAAGTTCGGAAACAAAGGTCGGGGAGCCTTTGGAGTTATCATTTGGAGCCTTGGAGAAGAGCAGTCGTTTGCCGTGTGTTGGGCCTGGGCACAAACAACTTCTCTCGGTCTTTCTCAATTTCTCAGGTGTGGTTGCATTTTGTGTGTGTGTGTGTGGGCTCAAGTACGTGCGTGCTGTGAAGTTGTGTCCTCCCTGTGTTTTGTCATCTTTTTTTGCATCTGTGGCTGTGAACAAGACACGCAAGGGCCCAAGATGACAAGAGTACCGTCTGTCAATGATCCAAGAAGTTGACTCTCGTGCGAATTCCTATTCAGCTTGTAAGGCTCATGCTTGGGACTCCAAAGATCAGCTCCCCGAAATCGAGGGGAGTCTCGGATTTCGCGACTCGCACTCGAGGAGCTCCTACAAAACAAGCCCGACAAGCTCGCGCTGGTTCAGCTACGACCCTAGGCATTGGACGTCCACGACCACACTGGCCATCTTTCAAAGCGGAAAATAAATGCGGCCCTTGGCAATCACCAACAGGTGGGCGGTAGGTTTTCTTTTGGCTTCAGGTTCGGCGCGTGAGTTTTCATGAGTTGGGTCGCTGTCCCGGCCGCGGCACCGTCGGTGCTTTTTCTCCCAGGTCACGCTTCAGCTTCACTGAGTGCGGCAAGGACAATCAAATCGCAAGGGCAAAGCATCAATGTGGGCAACTTTTTATAGCTTGCCCTCGCCTGGAAATGATTTGGCCCATGACAAACGGAAGCCAGCGGCTACCAACTCGAAAGCCAGAGCAACATCAACAAGCCTTTGCACCGGCAGTCCGGCAGGCCATCAAACCCAACATGCCTCAGTTTGCGTTGCAGTCTGCTGAACCACTTGAACGAGAATCTTCCTTCGAGTAAAGGGCTCTGTCCGTTAGGCACAACGTATCTTTTTGGATTGACAAGCCGTGGCTTTGCCCCAAATGATAGTTGTATTGGCACACGTTTCTCTCCGGATACTTATGTCCAATGCAAGTCATCGTGGCTCGCACGTGCTCTTATCTAACCATCTGATTGCCGACTCCCTTTTTATGCCATCAACTCAATCTCTTTCTTTGCAAGGCCGTGAGAGTTCCTACACGAAGAGCCATATCATCCCCTGATGAATGGAGTTCTTACCGTGGCACAAATTTGGGAAACCATTTCCCGAGCGCGACATCTTTGCCGCCAAGCCTGCTTTCCTGTGACTTGTGGTGCCAAGTTGCTAAGTATTCAAGACACAAGTCCATGCTAGATGAAGATGAAAATGTTTGCACAGTCGCAAGAGAGCCTGCAATGGAACATGATACTGATACCAATGGTTATAATGGCAAGGGCTGACTTATGGTGCTCTTTGAGGGTGTTTGATGCCTTGGTCTCCTTCCTCTTTGGGCTGTCCAGGAGGGTGAGGCGGAAGCCATCCACATCGGCGCCAGTCGAGGCGCTGGACGGATGTTGGGGATGGCAGGGGGGTCCCATGGTGGGCACCGCGCGTGTGCGTGCGGGCGGACCACCGTGCAGCGTGTGTGTATGTATATATATATATATGTTCTCGTGTGAATTCGGGGGTGGGTTCTCGTGTGTTTGTGGTAGTCTTTGAGTTTGAGGAGGGTTAAGCTCTCAGAACCATTGAAGGCATTCAAATGTAGAATTGTTCCTGATCAACCAAAGAATGGCCTGCGACAATCAGAAATTTTTGCCTGATCAAAGCTATCTAAGCTTGAGCTTTCGCTGTGAGCTCCTGATTTTACAATGGCATCTATGCAAGAAGCTCTCGGCATGAGTCTTGGCTGCCTGCGTTGCAGTGTGACGGTCCTTTGTGTGGCGAGCATTGCCTTGGCTGCCTCATGCTTGCCAAGGATATGGGTTTGGCCTGAGCTCCTCTTGTAGAAACACCGCACAGGAGTCATCCCTAATGTTGCCGCTATGAACCAACCAATGGAGTGAGAGCGGAGGCTCATGCCGCACAGCAAGCGCTGTGCGTGTTTCTGAAATGACACTCCCGAGCCCTCTGAGGCCCGGCCGGCTGTCAGGTCATGTAGAGGTGGTGCAATACCTCCTGGAGTGCCAAGCGCAGCCCAGCGCTATGGCCCGGGGCTGAAAGAGCTTTGTGCCTCGGAGACCGCCTCGGCATTCTGGGAGCCTTGGGCTGTCAGATGTTACTACGCCTGACTCAAAGACGAGTTTGAGGACTGCAGAGCACAGGCGCTCCTGATCCGACAATGGCAGCACGAAAAGGGGCACTGTGGCTACTGGGGCTGACTCTATGGGATTCTGGGAAGTTTCAGATCTCCACCTCGGGGGGAATTCGTGTTCGCAGTTCCTTTTTGTTTCTTGGAGCCTTGGGCGAATGTGTCTTCGGAATTTGTCTTTCTCTGCAGGTGGAAAAATACTACCATCCCAGCGGCCGCAATGCAAAAATCAGCTCCTTGGGACCACGCATTCGAAAAGTGGCGCATTTAAGGGCGTTGGCGTTGAGCTGGCAACAATGTGATAAGAAACATACACGGAGACTGGTCTCAAGAACCAGCAGCTGCACTTCCTTGCTTAGCGCAGACATATCCATGTTCAAGACACCTCGTCTCGGGGTCTGGATGACATTGAGAAGAACTTTTTCACCCGAAACCGAACTCCCCAAGAAGTCCGAAGACGAATTCGCCGATTCCGAGCTCCTTCCCAAAGCCGAACTCCTCCGCAAGGCGAACTGTGAAGGCGCATTCCCAAAGCCGAACTCCCAAAGCCGAACACGAGTTCTTCTCCTTCAGCCTTCCACCTGGATCCGAGAGTCAACCTCTTTTTACTTCGGGTGGTGGGATGCTGGTTCACCTGCCAAGGTCTCGCTGGAAGGGCAGCCGCAGTACGATGCGGCTCGGCAAGCGCCACGTGGTTGGTCCCAAAAGCAATATAATAGAGGTTTGGTCTGCATGTTTGTCCCCGGGGCTGTTTTCTTTACTTCCTGTGAAACAGTGGCACTTGCATTGCCAAAGCTTCCAAAGGTTGTACCTATGTTTGCTGGTGGAACAGCACACTTGCAATCTTGTCATCACACGGGAGCCCACTTTGGGAAAGTGCTAGTAACCTTTATCAACCGGAGAGCAAACGTTTGCTGCCCATTGAGCGATCAACCAATCACTTGCGATCAGTATTGTCCGAGGGCAATGGCTGTTGTTAGCATTCCTCATCAGAATGCTCCTTCCCATGTGGTCCTTTGCAGGAACATGAGTTTTGTCCTCATTACACGTTGGCCCAATGTAAGAATGAGAGCGCTGCCCAGGGCTTTCATGGTTGTGTTGCAATCCTTTGAGGGCGCGGCATCACTCTCCTTTTTTTTTGACCTGTTTGCTCCCTCTTCGAGCTTGCTAAAAATCAGGGCTGCCGTGCAGCCGCGCAGACGTGAACAAACTGGCCCGAAAAGTCCGCCGCACATATGAGTGAGCAACAGAAAGGTTTCCATGTCTTCCTTGCGCCTCCAGGCTTGACAAAAAACAAATGGCGCTGGCAGCCACGGATTTTCGAATATCCCCTGGAATATTCCCATGCAGATGGCTTGAGGTGCTGCACGCTGCCGTGCTGGGCGAAGGCCGTGGCGGCTGCCAGGGCCCCGACTGGACGCGCGTGGACTTGGATGGGAGGTGATCTCTGCCCAAGGTTTTGTGTTGCACTTTCCCAGTGGGATCACTCCCAACTCGACATGCTGTGCTTTACGGCGCTCGCGCAACCAAATGCACGCAGAGAACGCTTCAAGGATTGGCATGATGGGTAGGTCAAGAGGGGTGATGCCATGACCAGCGCTTGGGAGCAGTCGCAGTGTCGCCCATATTCATACTTGTTGACATGTCATTTTGGCCACATTTGACATGTTTGGTCGCAAAGGACGAGTGAAGTCACTGCAGCTGCAGCTGCCTTCCATGCCCCTTTCATAAGGGCTCAATCTTGCGATGCATTTCCGCTCATGGTTTCTAGGTCTGTTCACTCTGGACCAGCCACTCCTTGACTCAATCGAATGTATTTGCTCAAACCCGGGCAGACCAATGAACTGTGAAGTTTCGCACCATGTTGAGTTTGCCTTGATGAAATGATTTATTCCTGCCATCAAAGAGCACCTGTTGTCGGACACAACAGGGGCAGGCACATCTTAGATGACAGTTGGACGCTGCCGGTAAGTATGACTCAGGCTTTGAAGGCTGCAGTTTCTTGGGCAAGCTAGTTGTGCATCGGGATCATTGGATCGAGGCTTTTGCTTCATCTGATCAGAACTAAGTCGAACAAACCTAGAACCTCAACCCGTTTGGGATGAATTGGCCATGATGCCTGATTGGAGCGCAGCCCAAGGCCTGGAGATGATCAAATACCTGTTCTCAGTGAAGGCGCCAGTCACGAAGGACAGCGAGGGCAGGCGCGGACGTGGCCATTGGGATACGCAAAAGGGAGGACTCGCGAGACCCTTGGCTTGAAGCAACCAGCCGTGGATTTAATTCCGGATGTCGTGGAGAGCGTTCAAGTTTGTTTGTTCAGTCTCAGAGCCAGCTGCCCGGGCCAAAATTTGGCAGGTCACTCAAGCACATTGCCTTCAAGACCGGCAGCTCTGCTTGATCTTGGCTTTGTCGGCAATTTGTCCGAGGGTCAAAGATCATAGGACGACATGTGCAAAGAGCACTATTTTTTGCACCTCCGTACAGTACCTCGAGCGCGTGGCTGTGATTGCCGGTTTTCAGCAATATTTATCACGTACATGTCCACAGTTCCGGCACCCGCGCGGCTCATGCATCATGAACACCGGACATGGGCACATTTGAGGGAACCCTCGAGTGGATCATATCGTGTATGGGCAATGCAATGCGCATGGAACATCCGCTTGATTTTGTGAATGGCCTGGTTTGTTGTGGCACGCCGGGCTTACAGTGGTAACATGTGACTCAGGTAGCGTGGAGATCATCGAATACCTCCGCATGCTGGAAGGAGGCTCCTTGTTTGCGCCTCCGAGGGATCTGGAGACTTAGGCCATTCGCTTCAACCGAGGGCCAGGGTCATCGGTAGTGGATCCTCTTTGTGGCCAGGTCCGAGCAACTTTCTACCCTAAAAACGATGTCTGAAGCAACCTTGAGGACTTGTGCGAAGGTGCGAGACTGATCTCTTGCAATCTGTGATGCCTACGCTGCTCATCTGTAGGCGTGCAGAAGTGCGGCAGCTTCCACGAGAGTTCGCTGAGACCAACACCGAACTTGGACCAGAAGGACTGGACTGCCGGGATGGCCTTGGTCCGCGATTGGAAGGTCAGTGCATGCTTTGGTCTTCGATTGACTCCGATAGACTATCTGACATGGTTCTTGTTGGGGATTGTCAGATTGACAGAACGACAGAGGGCACTTCACCCCATAAGGGCACACGGTGCTGTCAAAGCCACAGTCAAAATCAGCTGGGTGCAGACTGGCGGAGAGAGCCGCGGCCCGCTTTTTGTTGGTCTCTCTCTCTCTCTCTTACGTAAATAGTCCACAAGAAGACCCACAATTTCGTCAAACTGGGTTTGCCGCCATCGTCAGCGATGCCAGACTGGAGTTCCTGATCCGCTGATCCTCGGTGTCCACGGAGGTCCCGGATTACGTGTCGCTCGTGGCAGGGCTTGTATTCTGCTCTGGTTGTGACATGGTTGGGCTTTGCTTTCCCAAAGTCGATGTCGATTGCAAACTGGAAATGCAGCACTTCCTCGCATTTTTTGTTGACATGATGTGCATGAATTGTGTCTCACTCAGGCTGGCCAGTGGATGGAGAAATCGTGGATTGATTGTCGCCATGAAAAGGGTGTCGGGGTTGGGCGACTGGATTCGGGCATCATATGTTTGCAAGTGTCATGAAAGAATCCTGCAAGTCTGGCTCGTCAGGGCTTGCAAGCCCTGGTTGCCTTGGCATCACGCCCAAGCTGCCCCTCCCCAGAGAGATCAACATCTCAGCTTGTTTACGTCCCTTGATATGGGTTGGTGTTGTGTTGTTGCGGAATCAGATAGACGGATGGAAGATGATCTAGGCATCGAAAGGGAGCCTTCCGTGGGTTTGACCACCAGCTCAGCTTGAAGACGCATGTTTTGCACGTTCACCACGGATGCATTAGTGGCATTTCAAGTAATAGACCAGGACAACAAGGACATTTTAATATTTTGCTTGTGCCAGTGACGTTGCTAAATTCTTATCACAGACAAAGGGCCCTTATGGCCCAGGTTGTGGAGCGTGAAACATACTTTGAACTTTTTTTTTGCAGCCTTTTCTCTTTTTCCCTCTCTCTCCCTCTCCCTCTATCTCTCTCTCCCTCTCTCTCGTTCTGTCTTTGTTTCTCTCTCTCCCGTCCCGTCCCCTCAACTCCCTCCCCCCCGCGTCTGTCTCTCTCTTTCTCTGTCTCTCTCTCTCTCTGTCTCTCTATTTCCTTGTTTCCTTCTTTCTTTGTTCCTTCCATTCCCTTCCATTCCCTTCCATTCCCTTCCATTCCCTTCCATTCCCTTCCATTCCCTTCCATTCCCTTCCATTCCCTTCCATTCCCTTCGATTCCCTTCCATTCCCTTCCATTCCCTTCCATTCCCTCCCCTCCCCTCCCCTCCCTCCTTTGCTTCATTCTTTCTTCTTTCTCCTTCCTGCTTCCTTCTTCCTCTCTCTTCTCTGTCTTTCTCTCGCGCTTTCTCTCTGTCTCTCTCTTTTTCATTTTCTCTCTGTCTCCCTCTTTCTTCCTTTCCTTTCCTTTCCTTTCCCTTCCTTTCCCTTCCTTTCCTTTCCCTTCCTCTCCTTTCCCTTCCTTTCCTTTCCCTTCCTTTCCTATCCCATCCTATCCTTTCCTTTCCTTTCCTTTCTTTTCTTTCTTTCTTTCTTTCTTTCTTTTCTTTTCTTTTCTTTTCTTTCTCTTCCTTCTTTTCCTTCTTTTCCTTTCTTCCTTTCTTCCTTTCGTTCTTTCTTTCTTTCTTTCTTTCTTTCTTTCTTTCTTTTCTTTTCTTTTCTTTTCTTTTCTTTTCTTTCTTTTCCTTCCTTTCCTTTCCTTTCCCTTCCTTTCCTATCCCATCCTATCCTTTCCTTTCCTTTCTTTTCTTTTCTTTCTTTCTTTCTTTCTTTCTTTTATTTTCTTTTCTTTTCTTTTCTTTTCTTTTCTTTTCTTTTCTTTTCTTTTCCTTCTTTTCCTTCTTTTCCTTTCTTCCTTCCTTTCTTTCTTTCTTTCTTTCTTTCTTTCTTCCTTTCCTTTCCCTTCCTTTCCCTTCCTTTCCTTTCCCTTCCTCTCCTTTCCCTTCCTTTCCTTTCCTTTCCCTTCCTTTCCTATCCCATCCTATCCTTTCCTTTCCTTTCCTTTCCTTTCTTTTCTTTCTTTCTTTCTTTCTTTCTTTCTTTCTTTTCTTTTCTTTCTTTTCCTTGTTTTCCTTATTTTCCTTTTTTTCCTTTTTTTCTTTCTTTCTTTCTTTCTTTCTTTCTTTCTTTCTTTCTTTCTTTCTTTCTTTCTTTCTTTTCTTTTCTTTTCTTTTCTTTTCTTTTCTTTTCTTTCTTTTCCTTCTTTTCCTTCTTTTCCTTCTTTTCCTTCTTTTCCTTTCTTCCTTTCTTCCTTTCTTTCTTTCTTTCTTTCTTTCTTTCTTTCGTTCTTTCTCTGATCTCTCTGTCTCAGTCTCTTATCATATCTCTCTCCCTCTCTCTCTTCCCCTCTCTCCCTCTCTTTCACACCCCTTCTCTGTCTGTCTGGCTGGCTGGTTGGCTGCCTGTGGCTGGCTGTCTGCCTTTGTTGGGTCTGTCGGTTTATTGGTTTGTCGGTCTGCCGGTCGGTCTTCGGTCTTCGGTGTTCCATCTGTCGGTCCGTCGGTCGGTCCGTCTGTTTATGACTCAACAATGCAACTTGTCCAAGTTCCACAGATCAAATGGGCTTGAATTGGGGCCGCTTTTATTTTCTCAAGCCTTGCCGCAGGGCAGATGTCCGAAGAGGTGCTCAGCAAAGTGGCAGAGGCACGTGATTGCTGCCCGAAGATGTGGACAGCGGGCCGATTCATTTGGCTAGAGAGCGGGTAAAGGGGCAGACACGATGAGAGGCGGTCTTTTCCAAATGCAAGCGCTTCGGCGCGGGGGCTGGGGCGTTTGGGGGATTGACGGCAGGTTCGAGAACTGGGGCTGGGGCTAGGGTTGGGGCTGGGGCTGGCACAAATGAATGGACGGCCAGGGCTGGGTAATTGAGAGCTGCAGGCAGCTAAAGCAAGCAGCTGGGATAGGGTTTGCAAAAATGAAAGACGGATCTGGCCGTTTCCGGGCCCTGAATGAATTTTGCAGGGACGTGGCTTTCTATAGAATTCAAAAAAGTTTGAGGGTGCTCTTGACGCGTCTTCTTGGCTGCTAGTTTTTCTTGATTGTCGTTGCTGGAAGGTTGCGTAGGCCACTCTTTGTTAGATGCAACTTCGGCAGACGACAGATGTCTTGTTCATAGCTGTTTGCCGTCGTGGGCGCGATGATTTCTGCTCTTGTGGACCCTGTGCTACCCAGTCTTCTTTGTGGCACGTGTGGCTTGCGTTCTGGAAGTTGATTTTCACATTTGGGCTTTTTCCATTCTGATTGCTGCCCAGCCCGACTCGAACTCGCTGAAGATCTTCATCAGTGAGTGTCCCCAGTGACACTCGGCCGCAGCGAGAGCA